ATAATTATAGTACTTAGTGAAAATTAAATACAATCCCTGTGGATTCGACACTCTTACTTCAATATTATATTACAAAATTTGACACCGTACACTTGTGGTTAAACCACGTTGTATAAAACGCGTGGCAAGTATGAAAGAGCTTTACCAAACATTCATGAAAAGTGGATACATAGGGTTTTTACTTGAGATTCTGCATATATATTAAATTTTTTAAATACATTTTCAACATAATGGAATGGGAAAGTACAATTTCATTATATTTTTTAGAGATCTTAATCCCTAATATTGCATTTGTTACCACCTTTCCTATCAAAATGTATTGTTAACATTTTATTAGTGTTCATGATGATATCATGACTTTTGTCCATAATTAACATATAATTCACATATAGATATAGAATTATATAGGCTTTGTATACATGTTTTATTTACACACATTTGTCACTCTATTAATTTTAAAATTATTTGACAACATTGTTTTGTCAAACATTTGGTGTCATTATTTTGGAGTTGCTTCAAATCATATAGGGATTTAACAAGTTTGCACACTTTTCATTCTTGGTTAGGAGCAATAAGCCCTTCAGGTTGCTCTAGGTATATTTTTTCTTCCGATTCACCATTCAAAATATTGCTTTCACGACCATTTGATGAATTTCATGGTTATGTAATGATCAATTGTAATCAACACCCTCATCAAAGTGATTTTAGTCATAGCTGTGTAAGTATTAAAGAAGTCAAGTCCTTTTTGCCTATAGCCTTTTGCAACCAACTTAGTCTTATATTTATCAACGGATCCATCCTTTTTTTTCTTGAAAATCCATTTATACGCTTGAGGCTTATTTCCCAGTGGTAAATCAATCAACTCCCAAGGATGATTTTGCATTATAAATTCTATCTTTCCTGTTTTCAATGGAGTGTTCCCCGTGTAGACATTGCTTGACTAAATGTCTTACGATCACTTTCTACCATATAGGTTTGAAAATTCAGAACCATATGAAGTTGATGTTCTAGCTCTTGTTTTACTGTGCTTTTATTCTTCATCATTCATAGTATCGTTTGCAGTTTCGTAAGTTCTCTTATATGAACTTAAATCTTCTTTATCTTTGCATGGAGTGATATTTTCGAAAAATAAGCATTTCTTGATTCAATTATGGTGTCTTCATGTATGTCTTGTATATCAAACTTATGAACAATAAATCGATATGCACCACTATTATTGGTATATCTAATAAATATGCAATCAATTGTCTTAACCATGATTTTAATTTGTTTCGGCTTTAGTAATTCAACCTTAGCCAAATATCTCCACACTTTCGAGTTTAAGAAGGTTAATGATATTTCATAATTCATATGGAGTTTTATCAATTTATTTTAGAGATATTTTATTAAGGATGTGATTTATTAAAAGTATAGCCGTTAACAAAATAACTAAAGCATGTAAGCAGAATTTAAATTTTTATTTATAATGCTTTGTTTCGATACAATAGTAAGAATGTTCATTTTGAACATTACATCACATAAGTATCATTTTCAAAATATTTAACTTATTTTTAGTGAGTACAAATTTATCAGATACAAATACTAATTTTAAATCATTTTTGCTAAGTAGAGACCTAGATGCAAGGTTCTTACGAATGTCGAGCACATATATGATATTGTTGAGAAATGAGAATGAGTTCTTTATTGGAAGTCATCTTCAATGTCACCTTCCCTTGTATTGAAACTTGCAGAACTCTCCATAAAGAGTTGTTCTCCATGGAGTTCTTTATAGTTGGAGAGCAATACGTTGTTAGCATAAATGTGGCAAGTAGCACCAGATTCAACCCATCGTGCTCTTAGTTTCCAACATTGTTATATTTAAAAACAACCGCTGACAAGTTCATTTCTTACATCCCGTTAGGTTGTGCCCTTTCTTATTTATTTATTTATTTTTTATTTTAATCATATTTGCTAATGCATTTTCCTTAGGCTTGCGACATCCATTTAAATGATACCCAAGCTTTCTCACAGTTATAGCAATTGCCTTTGAATTTCTTAACAATCTTGGTTTCCTTTTGGTGCATCATCCAAGAATTTTCCATTTTTGTTGATCTTTGAATCATATTCCACCAAGTTGGCTTTGACTTGCTCAAATTGAAAAACAGACATTCTCTCAATCTTTGTGGTCTTTTTCTATCCTTAGTCAAACAACAAGTTTTTCTAAGGTCATCTCTTTACACTTATGTTTGAGATATTTTTTGAAATCTCTCAATCTCAATGATTGCAGCAACTTGGAATGACTCACTCAACGTCATTTTCTCCACATGAATGTCATGGAGAAGAGAATTACAGTTATTGCGCTTGACTGATGATTGTCTCGAAGTCTATCATCTTGTAATTAAGGAACTTTTCGATGATGAATTTTTTCATGCGATGTCCTCCATTTTATATCTTTTCTCCAAAAAAATCCCAAAGTTCTTTAGTAGATTTCAGTAATGAATATACTCTTCTATCTAACGCCAAAATTGACAAATAATTTGAGTAACTATTCACATGTTGGGATACTGCAATCTTGTTAATTAAGGTTGTAAATACGATATTCCATACTTATTTTGAATTGAGCTATTTGTACCTTAAAAATGTACATCCTTGAAATCAAAATCATTGATTGCTTTAAGTATTGTTAAAATTAATGATAAAAACATGTGCTATATCACACAATGTCAACAAACCTATCAAGGAAACTGTAAATGTAGCTAAACTAACTTATTTCACTATAGAAATAAATGGAATAGAGAATCGATTTCCATTGCTTAAAATCTTAAATATATTTAACTTTTCCTATTTCCCCTATATCTTAAAAGAGAGAATCCCATGCTACTGTTCATTTGTGTTTTTTCTTCATGGTTCATTGTTCAATTATAAAATGTGGTATGAAAACTTCTGCCCTTTAATTTATTGTTCATCTGAAATTGGCAGCCACCTTTTTTTAAATAGAATCCCCCTATCTACTTTGACCTTAAAAGATGCCTAGATCACTGTTCTTCTTGAGGCAGAGTTTTCACACTTAACTGGTTCTCCACTGTAGCTCAATTGGTTCTACATTTTTCATCTAAAAAAACACATTTAGCGCGTTCAATTGTTCACAGAGCCATTTACTGTTGCCGCTTATTTAAAGAAAAGAGAAGTCTTAGTGAGGACCAATATTTTCAGTAGCTTTTGGTTCATGAATCCTAACTTCATCTATCTTGCTGCGAAAATCCCTAGAAAAATCTTGATTTCGGGCTTAGAAAACAACCAAACGAATACCACCCGACCAAGGCTCGACCCAAACCAAACCAAATGAACACTTTTGTTGCCTCAAATTTCTAGGCTCACGCAATTATCCTCTTCTAACCTACAAAGGATCACGGTGGCGGTGATTACAACATCACAAAGGGAGGAAGAAGTGAAAGGGACCAATAGTTGGATATCACTAAATCACCTCACCAAGACATGGCTGCCTCTCTCTCATTTTCTCTCCTCTGTTGTAACTCTCTCACGCACGCATCAAGGAAGATAGGGCTAGGAACAAAACATATATAGCAAGACATTAGGTCACTCATATGGATTGGGCCACAGTTTTCTCTATAGATGGGCTGACATTTAATTACAAATAAATGGACCACACAATCCAAAAACCATCTAACCCAAACTTGGGTTATCTAAAAGAATAGGTTGTTTTCGAGCCAAGCCAAGCCTATGGTGTCGATAAATTTTCCGTGAACTATTTTAAATCATAGCTTAGATTTATTGGGTATCAAAACCCAACAAATCTTCACCTTAATGCCCATTAAATCTATAAGCAATGAAAACACAAAGTTTATACTTGTATAATCAAGGTAACCAATAAAATTGGTATCACAGACCTTACCTCGTATTTCTAACATGAAATACATACCATATCTGCTCTATGTACTCACCAGGGCTAAGATCAAGAGCACTCGAGCAGAAGCTGATATTCACAGTAATCAACTAAGAGCAAATAAACATGCGATAACGATATAATATAGGATAACACATAGATCTTTTCAAAAATACGGTCACATAGAACAACAGATTAACACCAAGTTAATCAAACACACGGTCAAATACACATGCAACAAATCTAATTCTTGCTGAATAAAGTTACTTCTTATGAAATCCACTATTAGACTCTGCCAGTTCATGAATTGTGATTTTATTAATACACTCTTAATGTAATTCTTGGCGAACTAGGTAACTACAAATGTTACAAAAAGCTATTTATTATTTGAATTTTATGTTATAACGGACCGGAATATTTCTATTTTAATAATTGTTCGATCTCATTTTGTAGATTAATTAATTTTATTATAGTACTTGCTGTTCGAAATTTGACTTTGTGGGTGGTAATGACTTATTTATTTTTGCCACTAGCGTAAAAATTTATGTTTTAAAAGTGATTAGCAATTCTATGGCTTTAGATGTCCATTGTTAAATAATATGTGCCTCTAAATGTACATTGTTCAATGTTATTACATCCAGGTTTAAAAAAATTGACCGAAGGCTTAACTGCGTGGCTCTGCACTACTACAACTAAGAAATAAGGTTGAAGTACTATGGATATCAGAGCTATCTGTTTAAATGACTCAAATTAGTGAACTGTGCTTATCTATGCTAGCAGGTTAGGTTCATCAGACTAGGTAGCTTAAGAGCGTAGAATTGGACCGCCCTCAATAGATGAATATGGTATATAATGGAATTGACCCAAAAATTTCTCTATTTAAATTTTTCCAGTCTTTGGTAACAGCGTAAAATCAGACAAGAGTATGTCCAGCTGTAATCCTCAATCGATCTTACCTGATCTAATTGTATTACTGACTATAATTGATTGCTTGTGTGTAATAGTATTTTATATGGCCTCACTGGTAAGTGGTTACCTATACCCTGCTTCCATTCCCCCTTTTTATAAGAAAGCCAAATGTTAGAAGAACTCGGTCATTCTAGCAGCGATAAGAAGACTATAAAAACGACCAAGATCAAGATACTACGGTCCAGTCTTGGTCACATGGCGCAGTTTCTAGGACCGACTGACGCCTCACCTGCATTGGTACCTAGTGTAGTGGTTGCACATTCAACGTAGTGTTTGGACTCACGTGCCTTCCAGGACCGAGATTTTTGAGTGTACTGCATATGATTTGCCAGCTTTGTGGCAACAAAAAGATTAGATGTCCCCCCATGCTATGACCATTTGTAATTTCATCTCTTTCACCCCATGTCCTATGTCCCAACATTGTATATCTCTTCACCTTGACACCTTTGACCAATTAGATTCCTTACACGTGTAGACTCTAATCATCATGAAAATTCAGCATGGCCATTGTTTCATTTATTTGGGTTGAGGATGCATTTTACAGTTTCTCTGTTGCTACAGAGCTTTTCATTGGAGAAAGGGACGGGAAAGAAGTGCTTTATGCTGGCTTCAAGGGACCTCATTATATGGGGTTGTCCACCCCGTTGGCAATGGATCTCTTTTCCCAATTCCAGGTTCTATATTTATCCTGCATAAGAATAACAAGTATCTTTTTTTTTTTTTTTAATATTAATTATCTCGCTTGATAGTTTGTTGCGTGTCTGATTCAGATTTCCAGAGGTCGGAGTGCGTCTTGTTGGGTACTTGTTTGCATTTTGTGGCAAGATAAATACCTCCATGCTTTCTTCAGGAACTAAATATGCAGCTTACCTCGTGTTCACTTTGAGATCAGGAATTAATGGATATGGGCACCAGCTTGCTCAGGCTTTGATAGAAATTAGTGGACAAAACGCTGATGAACAAACTAACTATTTACAAATTGGACAAGAAGCTGATGGTAAAACTGTCTATTGTCCAGATGAAGAACAGAGGCAAAGGTGCCAGACTGTTCCTAGACCCAAAACTTTCTTGCATTTAATCTCTCATGTATTTTGAGGGCTAGACATCATAGAGTCCTCAGAGTTGCACAGATATCCCAAGTTCAGGGATGATGGATGGATGGAAGTTGAGATGGGAGAGTTCTTCATCCAGGGAAAACAAGATCAGGATGTGAAAATTATATCTGTGCCGTGGAATCCAGGACTGTGGTGTAATTGTTGGCATGGTGGTCATCTTATTATTCAAGGTATTGATATCAGACCAAGAGCTTGGTGAATATTTGATTTACTATTTTCATCAGAAACAAGTACATGGGTGTGGGAGTCCAACTATGTACACTTCCAAGTCAGCTTATTGACTTTTCTTTGCTTATTACCTCTGTTTAGATTCTTTATTTTGTGTCCCAGACCTCACACATTATTCTCCAAACTCACGTGATAACAATTTTTTGAGCTTATGATGAATTGGAGAATTAGGATTATCTTTTCTATTCTCTTTTAGTACGTTTCCAGTGAATGAATGATTTCCATTGTCAGTCAGTTGTTTGAAACTACTAGTCATAACGACCTTTAGAAAGTTTTTGCTTGAACTTGTGGCTTGATGCCTTTTCTAATGCCTATAATGATCTCTCTGTTGTCAAAAACATGTTTTTAATTTTTAATTTTGAGTTTATTTTCAATTTTTTTTGAAGGTCTATTTTAAAATGGTTGAAAATGCGTTCGATTTGTCATTCTTGGAAAATGTTTATGAATTTTATAAATTATTTTATGATAGTTTACGTGATGTGAACCCGCGTAGGTAAACGCTACGAAACCCACGAACAAGATTTAAATCTTCCCAAGAAAGTCAAAGCAAGGTTTTGGATTGAATTCAATAGATTTGGAACCAAGCAATCTGAATTGTTGACGATGTGAGGACCTCTTGATTACACAAAAATACGGAATCTCACCTGGTTGATTTGAATGCCACAAGATTAAATCTTGATAGTGCTTGAATTGTTCAATTCTAGAACAAGAGTTGAAAGCAATATAGCCTCTCAAATTCGAATAACATCAAAAGGTTCTTACAATTAAAAATAAAATAGTATTTATACCAGGTGTAAAAAACTAGGTAAAAATGTGCCTTATATTTCAAATATGGTAAGAAATCTACTAAGTATCAAATTCTATCAAAAATAGGAATTTTGCGAAAAAAAACGCTTCAAATTTTAACTATGCGGTCGTATGGTGTAAAATCATGCGGTCGCATGGAACGTTCGAAAATCCCCATAATTCTCTGCATCAATACATGCGACCGCAGGATGGTTTTAACCATGCGGTTGAATGGTTCTTCTCTCCAGCTCCATCTTCGGCTGCTTGTATTGTGTTGATCCAATTGGTTTCAGCCTTCGATCCGAACACGAAAATTGTCTCATTTTGAGCCTCGAACATGATTTCATCGATGGTTGTCTTGACGAGTAATCTCATTGCCTCTTTCACTCCCTTTGTTCTCGCTCGTGTCATAGGTCCATCTTCGACTTTCAACGGATCTTTCCCCGGGCTTGACGTTGGATTTGATTTGGTTGTTTGCGGCTCCTGGATCACATCATCCCCTCCCTCTTCGAAACGATTCGTCTTCGAATCTGAACCTGCATCAAAGAGAGAAAGATTAAATACATTAAAAGTTATCGAAACATTATACTTACCTGGAAGATCCAATTTGTATGCGTTATCATTGATCTTCTCAACTACCTGGAACGGTCCATCTCCCCGTGGTAACAATTTCGATTTTCTTTGCTCTGGGAACCCTCTTTTCTGAAGTGCACCCAAACCCAATCTCCTGGTTCGAATGTGACAATTTTCCTGCCCTTATTTGCTTGGTCCGCATAGTACTTTCTTTTCTTCTCAATTTGCTCCCGCACCTTTTCATGGAGTGACTTCACCAATTCGGCCTTCCTTTTTCCATCCAAGCTACCTCGTTCATTAACAGGCAAATGTATTAAATCCATAGGTGTTATAGGATTAAAACCGTAAACAATTTCAAAAGGAGAAAACGACATAGTGGAGTGTGTGGCTCTATTATATGCAAATTCGATAAAAGGTAAGCACTCTTCCAAATTCTTCAAATTCTTATTAACTACAGTGCGCAAAAGTTATGTCATAGTCCTATTCACTACTTCGGTTTGGCCATCTATTTGTGGATGACAAGTTGTAGAAAATAGTAGTTTCATGCCTAACTTACTCTACAAGACTCTCCAAAAGTGATTAAGGAACTTAACATCCCTATCTGACACTATGGTTTTAGGTGCTCCATGCAAGCGCACAATTTCTTTATAGAACAAATCTGCAATGTTAGTAGTTCATCAGTTTTGTGACAGGGAATGAAATGTGCCATTTTACTAAACCTATCCACCACTACAAAAATTGAATCTCGCCCCTTTTTATTCCTAGGCAAACCTAACACAAAGTCCATTGAAATATTTACCCAAAGTCCACTAGGTACTGGTAAAGGTATATACAGTCCATGAGGTAAGACCCTAGATTTAGCCTGTTTACATTTTATGCATCGACTACAAACCCTTTCTACATCAACTTTCATTTTAGGCCAATAGAAATGTTCAATCAATATCTCTAAAGTCTTTGCTACCCAAAGTGACCCATAAGTCCCCCACTATGTGCTTCCCTAACCAATAGTTCACACATAGAGCAATTAGGAACGCATAATTTACTCTCCTAAAACAAGTATCCCTCATGCTTAAAGAACTTATCTATAGCCCCCTTGTGACATGAATTGTAAATGTCGAAAAAATAAGAATCAGTAACATATATGTCCTTAATATACTCTAAACCAAGCAATTTTGCACTTAAAGTAGTTAGAAGCACATACCTGCGTGACAATGCATCTGCTACTACATTTTCCTTACCTTGTTTGTAATAGATGACATATGGAAAAGTTTCGATGAATTCTATCTAGCGTGTATGTCGTTTGTTCAACTTACCTTGACCCCGCAAATATTTTAGTGACTCATGATCTGAATGAATTACAAACTCCTTCGACCATAGATAATGCTGCCATGTTTCCAAAGCTCGAACAAGTGAATAGAGTTCCTTGTCGTATGTAGGATAATTGAGAGCCGCACCACTTAGCTTTTTACTAAAGTATGCTATAGGTCTCTTATCCTGCATTAAGACTGCTCCTATACCTATTCCTGATGCATCACACTCAATCTCGAAAGTTTTGTCAAAATTAGGAAGTGCTAAAACCGGTGCTTTACACAAACAATTTTTGATAGTGTTGAATGCATATTCTTGCTCTAACCCCCAACGATATCCTACATTTTTCTCGACAATTTCAGTTAAGGGTGGGGTTATTGTGGTAAAATCTTTAACAAAACGCCTACAAAAACTAGCCAATTCATGAAATCTTTGAACCTCGGTTATGTTTTTAGGTGTTGGCCAATCCTTAATATCTTTTAATTTCTCTTCATCTACCTCTACACCGTTAGCACTAACCACAAAGCCTAATAATATAACCCTATCCATACAAAATGTACACTGTTTAAAATTGGCATAAAATTGTTCATTTCTTGAAACCACAAGCACAGATTTTAGATGTTCCACGTGCTCATCAAGACTCTTGCTATAGATTAAAATTCATCGAAATAAACTACAACAAATTTTCCAATGAAATCACGCAAAACATGATTCATTAATCGCATAAAAGTGTTTGGTGCATTTGTGAGTCCAAATGGCATGATTAACCATTCATACAATCCATATTTAGTTTTAAAAGCCATTTTCCATTCATCACCCTTCCTCATGCGAATTTGATGATATCCACTTTTAAGGTCAATTTTACTAAGCAACACATGTACCATGTAGCTCATCTAACATATCATCTAGTCTAAGAATTGGGTGACGATACTTTATCGTGATGTTGTTGATGGCTCTGCAATCCACGCACATTCTCCAAGACCCATCTTTCTTTGGCACCAGCAACACAGGTACTGCAGATGAACTCATACTTTCCCTTACATATCCATTTTTCATCAATTTCTCAACTTGCCTCTGAAGCTCCTTTGTCTTCTCTGGATTACTCCGATAAGCCGATCGGTTCGGAATGACAGCTCCAGGTATGAAATCAATCTGATGCTCAATTCCTCTAATGGGTGGTAACCCACTCGGCACGTCCTCCAAAAATACATTGTCAAATTCCTGCAACAAAGAAATAGCTAAACTAAGGAGGGATGTGTTATGCTCCTCAAAGTTGAGGAGTGACTCCTTGTAAACCAACAATATCATTTGTTGTCTCTCAACTATTGCCTTTTTTCAACTCACTCCCTCTCACAAAGAAATTTTGTTTCGGCTTTTCTCTCATCTCAAAAGACTATCTTTCTTTTCTCTCATGTGGCCCCACTCTTTTTTCCTCTCTATTGGCCACCTCACTCTTTTCTCTCTGTTTTTCTAACTCTTTCACTCTTGCTTCTTCTTCATTTTTCTATACTTGTTCCGGTGTTAATGGTGTAAGAGAGATAGACCTCCCATCTTTTATAAAGCTGTACTTATTTCTGTATCCATCATGCATTGCTTTCCTATCGTACTGTCATGGTCTTCCCAACAAAATGTGCCTCGCATGCATAGGTACAACGTCACATATTACCTCATCCTGATATCTACCAATGGAAAAATTAATCAACACCCTTTTTGTCACCTTGACCTCCCCACATTCATTCAGCCATTGTAACTTATAAGGTCTAGGATGTTTTAATAGTGTTAAGCCCAACTTTTCCACCATGTTAGTGCTAGCTACATTAGTACAACTACCACCATCAATTATTACACTACATACCTTACCATTAACGAAACACCGCGTGTGGAATACGTTTTCTCGCTGTTGTTCCAAGTCGACCGCCTTGATTTGAGCACTAAGAGCTCGCCTCGTGACCAACAACCTACTGTTAACTGCATACTTAGTTGTATCTTCCTCATCAACATCTTCCAATCCTGGCATGTCTGCATATTCACTTTCACTTTCCACTTCCCCGTTATCTCGTAGAATCATTGTCTTCTTGTTTGGGCATTGAGAAGCAATGTGCCCTACTCCCAAGCATCGAAAACATTTGATGTCCCTGTTTCATGATGGATTTGATTCCCCCTTTGGTATAGGCTTGCTAGCACCCTCTTCCTTGCCTCTTGGTACCTCAGCTCTTCCTCTTGCAGTAGTCCCATCTCTTTTGTTATTTTCCCAATTCGATTTCCAGGAAGGATTAGAACCCGAAGATCCAGATGGGTGCCTTGCTGTTCCTTTTCGCTTCAACTGCCTTTCTACCTTCATCGCCACATGTAACATGTCTTCAATTTCTACATAGTGCTGCAATTCCACTGCATTTGCAATGTCTCTGTTCAATCCACGCAGAAATCGAGCCATGGTAGCTTCGCTATCCTCCTCCACATTTACCCTGATCATTAGTGTCTCCATCTCCTTATGGTAATCTTCCACACTCCTGAAGCCTTGATATAAATTTTGCTATCTTTGATGAAGCTCCCGATAGTAGTGAGTAGGTACAAACCTCTTCCGCATGATAGTTTTCAATTCCTCCCATGTATTAATAGGTCGCTCCCCACTTCTCCGCCTTAAAGTCACCACCTGATCCCACCAAGTGATTGCATAATCAATGAATTCAAGAACTGCAATTTACACCTTCTTCTCCCCCGAGTAATTGTGGCAATCGAAGATTAACTCAATTTTCTTTTTCCAGTCCAAGTTGGCCTCCGGATCACTCCTACCTTTGAAGGAATGAATGGTCATTTTAATGTTACTCAAGTTTCCATCCACCTCATCTCCACCGAGATTCCTACCTCTCCTGTCTAGTCTGACTCCTCTATTTCTACCCCTTCCAATATCCATATACACTGTCGCATCCTCATCCAATCCACTATCAACCTCAAATTCACTAAGTTCCTCCATCCTAGGTTCCCGCCTACCCTGTCTCCGTGCATTAAGAACACCTCTTCGAGTATTGGCAGGCAATGGATTTTGCCTTTTTCCCCGTGTATCCTGTCTATCCATCCGATCTCTCATATCTACACATAACTACTCAATCCTCCTCACCGAGTCCTCTAGCATGGAAACCCGATCATCAACCCTTCCTGAATTTGATCCTTCCCTGTCAGACATCCTAAATCTAAATTATTTTCTGCCTCACAAGTTTTCACTCGGAATTTCACTCAATACGTCTTTTCCATCTATTTCTCCCACCACTCTGCCTTTTTCCACTCGTTGCGTTCACCAAGTCTCCAAAAGAACAATTTCGGAACTCAATAAAAAAAATAATCACGTGGAATTCAAACTGGTGTGAGTGAGACTACAAAATCAAGGATTTTTGTTCTGACTGGCAATTCGAACTAAACAATTAAAGACTGACTCAAAAACACGAAATAAGAAAAGAATTATTGACTGACTTTTAAATTAGATGCAAAATAATAAATGGAACTAAAGAGAGTCGATAAATTTTCCCCAAGATCAATAATAATAATAATAATTTTTTTTACTGCGTACGGATGAACAGTACCGTACAGATGAATAGTAAACTTTTTTTTGGACCCGGACTTTAACTACGACACCAACGAAAGAAACGGAAGTTGTTTTAGATGCTAAATGAGCCCAAAAATAACTTTTGAAGTTTTAGACGAAAAGAATTCAGATCAAAGACTCAAGAATTTACTGGACAGAAGAACGCGAAGAACGAAAAAAAACTAGAAACAAAGACTTAACAAGAATTTAAAAGGGATATAACCTTGAATTGGTGCCTAAGCTCTGATACCAACTAATGTGAACCCGCGTAGGCAAATATTACGGAACTCACAAATAAGATTGATATCTTCTCAAGAAAGTCAAAGCAAGATTTTGGATTAAATTCAATAGATCTGGAACCAAGCAATTCGAATCGCCGATGATGTGCGGACCTCTTGATTACACAAAAATACGGAATCTCACCCGGTTGATTTGAACACCACAAGATTAAATCTTGATAAGTTCTTGATTTGTTCAATTGTAGAACAAGAGTTGAAAGCAATATAGCCTCTCAAATTCGAATAATGTCAAAAAGTCCTTACAATTGAAAATAAAATAGTATTTATACTAGATCTAAAAAACTAGGTAAAAACGTGCCTAATATTTCAAATATGGTAAGAAATCTATTAAGTATCAAATTCTATCAAAAATAGAAAATTTGCGAAAAAAATAAAAAAAAAGGCTTCAAATTTTAGCAATGCGGTCGCATGGTGTAAAATCATGCGGCCGCATGGAACATTCGAAATTCCTGAATAATTCCCTGCCTTACTCCGTGCGGCCGTAGGACTATTTTAACCATGCGGTCGCATGGTTCTTCTCTCCATCTCCATCTTCGGCTGCTTGTATCGTGTTGATTCAATTGGTTTCGACCTTTGATCCGAACACGAAACTTGTCCCATTTTGAGTCTCGAACATAATTTCATCGATGTTTGTCTTGATGAGTAATCCCATCACCTCTTTCACTCACTTTGTCCTCGCTCGTGTCATAGGTCCACCTTCGACTTTCAACGGATCTTTCCCCGGGCTTGACGTTGGACCTGATTTGGTTGTTTGCGACTCCTGGATCACATCATTACTTCATTAATCTGATTATTCAATAAAATAGAATAAATTTTTATTAAAACTAGTTTTGTGTGTTATTTTGAAAGGGATGTTAGCGTCTTGAATGTCAAGGATTGGGGAGATATCGTATTACAAAATTTCCACACGCATATTTACATAGAAGAAATAATGTTTCATAAAGTTGTAAGGGTCAATGAATTGTGAAACATTTAAACAAAGAGGGCAAAGGAAATGTTATGGAAAAGGCATTAGGGAAAAGTTCAAATTTACAAGAGGAGAACGTGTTACAACGTATAATACAACAACGTACTTCAAAATATACTTTCGTTTGGTTTCTTTTCTACTAAACTGACATGGAAATGAAGCAAAAGTTCCATATAGTCAAAATAGAAACATAGATGCAAATTGCAATGGTTAGAAAGAGACAAAATCAACTTATCAAAGAGACAAAATCAACTTATCCAAAACAAAAGCTCGCTACCAAAAAATAAAACTAAAAAGCCTAAACCAATCTTATCTTCTTCATTTCATCTCATCTATCCCTGCCATTTCACAGTCGCGGTGCTGTTGTTTGTGGTTCCAAAATTGCTATTTGTCGTTTGATGCCATTTCATCCATTTCACAGCCAAAACCAATTGAATTTCTCCGCTGTCTACTTCCATTTCAATGATTTCATTATTTTCATCCATCCCTGCTTTCTGCTGTCATTTCACAATCTGCCCTCTCAAGAACATTTCTCAAACCGATTTCAACGGAGAGACCCCCTTCAATTTTTGGCCTAAGGCGCAGGCCTCATCCACCTCACCTCAGGACTGGCTCTGAGTACACAATATGGAAATTATCAAAGCAAAATGTTATTATATTTAATACAAATTACAATTTTATTGAGGGCCTTACATCTGCATTACTTGTCATGCCCGCACGTTTAACATTGGTACCAGAGTCTAAGTAGGTTGTTTTCTTGCTTAACTATATGCTGAAAATGTTTTAAATTAAATTGAAATGCATGAATTTCGATTTTATTTCAAAGCTTGAATGTTGTTAATGGCAACTTTTGATATACTTCATATAAATTCATGAAATTTATACTGTATGTTCATGATATTATGGAGAACATATCTGGAAAATTTCACTTCGTTTAGATTTGTATTGTAGGAGAAAAATCGAACCCTAGTTGAGAAAACATAAACTTCATCGCATGATAATTTCTTGCATGTTAAGTTCCACCTACCCATTATATATGGTTGAATAGTTTGTCCTCAAATATTGCAAGTGCAATTTGGAAAATTGTATGTTGCTCTCTACACTTTTGAATGTTGAATATTTCAAATGTAATTTGAAAAATTGGATGTTGGTCCCTCAAATATTACAAAATGTACTTTGAAAAATTGCATGTTAGTCCCAACATATTTGAATGTTGTTTATTCTAATATCAATTTGAAAAGTTGTAAGTTGGTCCAATTTTTTTTTTTTTTTTTTTTTTTGGAAATTGATTATTCCAAATTCAATTTAAAAGATTGTGAATTGGTCCCTCAATTATTCTTGATTTTTTTTAATGCAATTAAAATAATTTTTATATAATTAAAAATATTTATATTTACAATTTTTGAATTTAATTAAATTCTTTTTTTTTATTTTATAAAAATCAAGAATATTTTTGTGAAGTGGTATTTTCCTGGTGGGAGTTTTTTTTCCCTCTCATTTTTTAAATGAAAAATACTCCAAAAGTATTCGATATACTGTCTTTTCTACTAGGGCTAGATAAAACTTCCGAACCGAATCGATCGAACCCAAACGGAACGGTTCTTCCTAAGTTAAATACCCGAATGGGCATCTGAATCGAGAACCAATGAGTTTAGTTTGATTCTCGGTTCTAGATCAAGAACCGAAAAATCGAATAAGAATCGAATTTTCTTAATTTTTTAATTATTTTATTTTTTCTAAATAAATTTGCCAACTAGTTAGTTTAGTTCATACCAAAAAATATGATTTTTCTATTTCTAATTTTTAGTTCAAAGCCAACTTAATCAAATTGACTTAAATTTTATCCAAATCTGTTACTCAACCGTAGTACTGTTTCTGTCGTTCTAGAGAAATCGAATTGAAGCTCAACAACGCTTCTCTTAATTATTGTGAGCTCGCTATATTCCTCTCCTTGTGATTTTAACAATCAAATTTATGAAGAACTCAGTAAAGATAGACACATAAAATTGGACTACATTATTTTGTAAAAGTTAAGATTGAACATATAAATAGTTGAATTAATGTACTTTGTAAATATTAAAAATTTTAATTATAATACAGAACCTGAGAATCGAATAGAATCGAACCGAACCGAACCGAACCAAATGAAACTGAACCCGATCGATTCCATAATTAAATTTGGACTCGACGATTCTACTTACTAAATACCCAAAAATTTCAAG